GCTATGATAAGAACCAGGCTTACTCAACCGAGTGGTCTGACGATGAGCAGCCTGCTGCGTACTCTGGCAATGAAACTAGTGGGAATGGGAACTCTTTTGAAGATGATTCCAGCACTGGGAAAGCGGTCCGCGTGCGTGCACTCTATGACTATGAAGGCCAGGAACAGGATGAACTCTCTTTCATAGCAGGTACTTATCAGTGACCATCAGATTTAGCTGTAGAATGACACAGGTGGTCAGAAAACACCATCTGATTTCTATTCTAAAGCTGCCTTACTTTTTTATCAAAGATAACAGTGATTAGTCTGCAGCAGCCACATGGAAAACAAATTACAGACACTTAGCACCAAATAACACAAGCTCTTTGGGAAATGAGCCGAAGAAATGCGTAGGAGCCCCACACAGTGACATGACTAGTAATTAAAGACATGCTTTACATAGAAACATAACTATTGACAAAGCCACAGCTGTGCATCTTCATTTTGTTTACCTCATAGTACATCCACATGATATTTTTCACCACACAGTTTGAGATAAGGTATTAAATAATCTTAGGGTTATCTGGTGATGACTGGAGGCAGACTATTTAAGAAACGTTAAAGGTATCCTATGGAGTTTTGTTGTAAACAGCATGGTTACATGCAGCGTTACTCACCAAGATGTGCTGCTTGTACCTTTGACGCCTAACAAACATACCGAATGCATTTAGAAAATATTTGCAAAGCTGATTATTTTTTTCATATTTTGACATGTGTAATGTTTACCTCCATGTTTACATGTTACTCATTCAAGTTCTTGCATCTCTTGGTACTTTACTGCCACCTGTAGATCAGTGGAGCAGAGTGAAACATGTCATGTATAAAAACACGGTGCCATTATTGGTCAAAAATCCAACTGGGTTGGCACATTCTTTGGACAAGGGGAAAACTTCAAATCAAAAGAAACCTAAAAACATGAGGCTGAGGTCATTTGGGAACATTTTCAGTTGACATTTTACAGTTTAAAAAATAAGACCTGGTGGATGTATTTAAACATTTGACTACTTTTACACCCTCAAGCACAATCACAAAAGGTATTGAGTATTTTTCCCACATTCCTGGAGGTGTAATCCTAGAGAAGAAAACAGCATTTGGAATATATAATAAAGTGAATAGTTCAACATTTAGGAAATACACTGCTGCTTTCTTATTGATCAATATCACTGTCTTAAGTGTGAGATCAATATGAGGCTAGAGCCAGCAGGTGGTTATGGGGGTAAATGGGGGACACTGATACCCTGCCTAAAGGCAAGAACATCCACCTATCAGCTTCTCCAGAGCTCAATAATTTGCATCGTTGGCCAAATCTCTACTGAACTCGGGAGTAAAAATGACAAGTTGTGGTTTCACAAGGAGTTTGGTGCCAGACTGCTTCTTGGAACAAGTGAACATGCTAGTTTATTTATGTTATGTATGTAACATGTTTCCAGTCTTTATGCAGCCAACTGGCTGCTGGCGCTTCAGGCATCAAAGTTGTTTTGATCTTCTCATCCAACTCATCATGTACAGTGTCAAGCAATTTCCTTATCTGAGTAGATAAAATATGAAAAATCCAAGTAATTAAAACATTTTTGGTGTCTGATCAAATTTTACTGGGAGCGAGATCTGGACTTCAGTATTTCTGAAATACTAGATACAAGAGAACACAAAAACAGCCACTGCATCAATAAGTATAAGCAAAGTAAATACAATAACATCTACATAGCTTTAAAGAGCAGAAATGTGGAGCGGTACCTACAGAAATGTTTTCATTTTAGATTTATGTTAACAAAACTGTGTTGATTGAGGAGTGGTATCCTCTTCACAGGTGATGAACTGACCAAGACTGAGGATGAAGATGAGCAAGGCTGGTGTAGAGGACGTTTGGACAACGGCCAAGAGGGACTGTACCCAGCCAATTATGTCGAGCCAATCTAGTCAGGTTACTAGACAAGGACATGGCACTGGAGGCAGCCTGAACTGTCCCGTCCAATTACACCGCACATAGCCAGAGACTTAAGAGCATCACATCCCTTGCCAACAGATGCGCCACGCAGTCTTGCCTAAATAAAACCTTAGTAACCGAAAAGACACTATATCAGTATAATATATTTTATCTAGCATTTGGGATGGGTGGACTTACTTAAAAACAGGGGCGGCCGTTATTCCAGTATATACATACTCAACTATGACGTCAGTACAGTGCAGGAACACATTACTTCTCTGTGTAGCTGTATTTAACGTGCAAAGCAGCTTCTTTAAACTTGCAGTATACTGCAGTCTGTTTTCTTGTGAAAATGGGAAGATATAATCAGTTACACCCATTCGACGAGCTTATCCAAGATGAGCTTATCCAACCTGCATTGTGTATATACGGTGTGATGCCATTTTTGTGTAGCACATTTAATGCCGTGTGTGGTTAGTCGTCATTCTTACATCGGGAATGCTGTGTAGTGTTAAAAGTACCACAGACAGTATCCTCTAATATTTTTGTTTTTGCGTTATTTTTGTTTTTCTTTGTGCTTTGGTCCGGCCTCCTTTACAATGTGTGCAGTGCTATGTGTTTTTAACTGTGTCTGAATTTGCATAGCAGCATGTGCTATGCAACAACTTGGATTCCCTGAATCCTGCAGCCTCGTGTAGGTTACAACGTGATGCAACACTTCAACCACAAATGCAGAGTTCACTTTTTAACATCACGTGCTTCTGGACATGCACACGGTACTGTTTTCATGAGAGGAAGCTTATTGATGAACTGATTTTATGTTTGCTTTGTTTTTAGCATTCATTTTCTTTGACAATATCATCTTCACGCAGTTCATGGAAAGATTTTAAAGAAGCTTTCCTTCTTGGTTCAGTAATTCAGGTCTCATTTTAATCCACCCCTGCTCACAAGAAACACCAGTGATACATTCCCTCAGAGCGAAGTCGGATCAAGTCATCTTTATGAGGGTCCCACTGCAGTGTTAGAGGAAGGTTTTGAACAATGCCTGTGCCTCCCACTTTCTGCAAGAGAGAAGAGCTAATGGAGGCATGTCAGTGTGTTACTGTGCTACAGGCTGTTGTCTGAGGATCAAAACCTCTCCAGCAGGACATGAATGTATTAGTGTTTGGGCTTGAAAAATGGCATATCGTCTAAACTTGGTTCTCTACCATCATTTAAAGCCCTATCTAGCAAAAAGCACTAGTTATGTGGCCCGTTTCCCAGCTCAGCCAAAGAATGACCCAATACCATCAACTGTCTGTTTTCTCTCCATGCAATAACTTCACATATCACATGTGAAGCAGCTTCCCAGTCCACATAAACTTTTGTTGGGGAAACATTTGTCGCCAGTACTGTGCTGCATGAAAATCAGCTCTTACAGAGGATGTGGCTGTGTTTAAACTTGCTCCATAGCAGTCAAATTTATAGCAGGCATTGCATTCATCAGATGTTGATTAGTGAGCTATCTTGCTACTAGTTGCACCTAAATCTCTGATTAGATGGGAAAGATGATTTTTATTACTTGTAATAGTTGCCCTGAAGATTTTCAGTTTCACCAGACTAACAGCAATCAGATGTGTTTAGCTCCGTGTCTAGCACAGGATTCGGCAGGTTTGGGTCTCACACATGAGGAGAAACACATCACCAGCTCACAAGTTGTGTCTTAGAGTAAAGCTGTCCAGCATAGCAAAAAGGACTCCTGTCATCCAAACTGTCCCATTCCTCAATGCGTGTATGCGCACATACACACAAACTCACATGCATTAAATACACGATACACGCAAGTTCAAACACATAATCCACTTTACCAGTCTAATATTTTGGGGTAAGACATCATCATCATCATCATCATCATCCGGTGTGTATGAGTTGTGTAAATGTAACAGAAAAAAATGTTTTAAAAAAACACAAATGATTGACTAGTAACACAAAATGTAGTGCTATACATGTAAATGTGTTTCATTAAAATAACAGCAATGGAAACCATATTAAGTAATGGGTACCACATTGTATGAATTTCATTGCAATGGAATTGTCAGTGTATCATAAAAGCGTGACATTGTCCCACGCTGTCAGATTTGTATATGATGATGTAATTTAAAGATTATATTCTATTGTAACTGTACAACTGTGTTGAGTTGAAAACAAGACCTAACCATGTTGAGGCAGTAAAAAAGGTGTACATGTAAATGCTTTTTTATGTTGATGATCTCTTCCTTATGCACACAGGGGACAGCAGCTCATGCTGTGGAAACCCTATATTAACGATCTAGAAGATGTATGTTCATAGTTAGTGATGTACTTTTATCTCCTAACTGGTGTAGTGCCTGTTCATCTTGATGTAACAAGAAGTTCATTTAAATATGCATAAAGATGATTATGATCACAGATAACAATTGTGATGAAAAACCTTGATCAGATTTGTTGTGATGGTGTCAATATTGCGATGCTGGTTTGAAAGGGGAATAAGTTTGTGAAAAAAAACAAGTTAGTGTCTGTGTTTTTTTTTGTGTATGGACAGCACATTGGATTTAGAGTAATTTATTAGACTAGTTCTTGTCTGTAAAACATTTGGTAATAATTCATTGCTTTATTGTAGATCTTGAACATAAACCAAAAGAAAAAATGGAGTAATTATCAAGACAGGTTTAATAAAATATTCACTTATTTTGGCATTGCTCTGCAACTTCTAAATATTTCTTGACATTTGGGAATAACAGGATGTGTCGTTGTTTAAAAAAAGACAGAGAGAGAGAAGACAAAGAAATAATTCAACATTTTGGGACATATGTAATTTGCTTTCCTCCCCAGAGTTAGATAAGAAAATTGATACCACTTTCATATATGTACATGTAGCTAGAGTCGGCTATTGGTTAGCTTAGCATAAAGCCTAGCCCCGGTCTGTCAAGTATCAGAGACAAAGAAAACAAATCAAATTAAATCAGTTTCTAAGAAAGCAGAGTGAAATGATGATAGGCAGAAGTGCATGTTTCAGTAGGCAGTCTTTACAATTGAAATGAAACATCAAATGCAAGAAATGAGCTTCAGAGTTTAGGTTACTCCCAATGTATGACCAGCATAACATTGGCTTCTCCTTGGCTCATTTTCCCATGACCCTTTTCACCATACAGGCTTGACGAACTGGTAGACCAGCCTGCGGGACACATCAGGCTTTCGAATGATGCCCTTCTTGTAGTACTGGCGTATAGAGCGACTCAATTTGTCATAATTCATAGCTGGCCGGTTCTTCCTGATGCCCCACAACCTAGCCACATGAGCTGAGTCTTCTATTTTGAAAATTCCTTTGGGCAAAAGAAACAGAAAATTTACTCAGGCTGAATTGTGGAACTAGATGTGCATACAGTACAGTAGATATAGTGGTGCTTTAGTATCAGGACTGTGCATAACAATGACAGTAACCTTTGGTTTAGCATGTTAGCATGCTTACTTGTGCTAATTAGCAATAAACTAAGCTATAGGTCATATGAATGTAATTGCTTTTGCAGGTCATAAACCAAAATATTAGATAGCCTACACACCCGTGGCAGGGAACTTGTGAAAAGTTCAAGGATAACCAAAGTTTATCCTACATGTAGTCTACCAGATTTCACAGCAGTCTGTCCTCTAGTTGTTGAAACATTTCACTCAAAACCAAAAATGTCAACTTTGTGGTGGTGTTACAGGAAATGTAATGTCTAAAGTCAGTGAGATACATAATCCCGGGACCATGAATGTCTGCTACAGCAAATAAGAATCCCTGTAATCAGTTGTGTGCATCCGTGCAACAGCTGTGCCAGATGACAGGCTTCCCTTAGTATCACAGGTATCTTCAATCTCATAATCAGTCATTTGGCCAAATTGTCATCCATGTTCTCTGTTCACAGCTTTCTCTATATTTCCTTACCTTTCTCTTTGTTGACCCAGCGGATGCAACGGCTGTAGTTATGCGGCTTGAGGAGCAACTCTCGGAGGAACTGCCACAGGTGAATGGGCTGACTGGGGCAGTTACACATCACATCTGACCAGGAGTCATCATCAGCTGCTGACAGAGGAGAGATTTCTGTAACCCAGATGAAACATTATTGATTAAACTGTGTTTTTTTAATTGCAGTTTAATTATACTCACAGTAAAGAAAACAAACTTTTTTTTTCACCTACAGTATAAGCAACAACTTACCAGACTTGCTGTCATCTGGTGGGCACCGTTCCTTCATTGCTGCAGCTGCATGAATGGAAACCAAAATGACTTCAGCAGCAGTTTACACCAAACAGACGGCAGTTTAGCTCGTACACACTGCATTTGCTACACAAGCAGCCATTCCTAATTTGCTACCATTACAGCAGATTTGATATGGGTTCATTTACCAGTGTTCCTGTCGTTCTTACCAGATTTCCATATGTCCAGATGAGCATACAGAATGTCCCCAAACTGTGAGGAGTGTTGCCTGAAGTCTGCCTCTGTCATGGAGCACAGATCTCTCCCCATCAGCTCCTTAAACATGGTGCTGACCTGTGGCAGCCTGTACAGGTGCTCGGTCCAGAGCAGCCACTTCTGAACATGCACACAGCTCCAGTCCAAGGGGTCTAAAAGAAAATCACATAAGTATTTTTTTTCAACTCTCCTTGATTTTTCTAATGTTGATGACATGTCAAAACCAGAACTAGACCAAAGTCCTTTTTTATTTTTATCAATACAGTCAGTTCAGTAGGTTGGTAACTGATATTTGCTTTTGTTGAAGTTGCTATTTTACAATGATATTAAAATTATTTTGTTGATGATGGCTCTTGACAGTACATATTCTCTGATGCCCACTATAGAGCTTTAGGAAATGAGCATTTACCAGACCAGAAGAACCAAACAACTGACTTGCATGAGGAGATCCAGTATTTTGTGGGTTTCATTCACACTAAGGAATCAAAATTAAGATAATTTGACCATATTTCAGTTTCCTAACTGTGCATATGACAAATAAACACTTTGACCTGATATGTTTTATAAAATTTGTATGTATAAAATGCCCAAATTTATGGAAGTGCAATACCAAATTACTGAAGTGCCCCGTTAGTACACAGTGATATATTTTATTTTTGAATAATTTTTGAAAGGCTACTAAAGAAAAGAACAATGTTTGACAGAAATTAACCTGACAGTAAATAGTTTTAACTGTCAATCGGCAAAAAAGGTTTAAAGATGGCAATGCAACTAAAGACTAGTATCCATCAACCAGACAGAACATGAAAACAAAGCAGAACACTGCCGTTGAAGGATTGGAGTTAGTGTTATGTTAATTTAGAGGGTCACATAATTGAGCAGGGTAGTTGGTGTTGGTGAAATAGTAACTCTGGAGACGTTTTGTCAAATCTGAGAACAGGCTTGGAGACTATAAAGATTTTACTACTGCACATTAAGATTGGTGGAGTATGAAAGTTAGCAGGCATTTACAGGACAGGTAAGGTCTAATTAAAAGATTAGTACTAGTTGAATTATGGGAAATGTTGGCTCCAGTGTACAGTGTATCAATATTAGGGACAAAAAGTCAGGATATCTACTGCACTGATGATTTGACTCTGACCATTTTAATCAGACTCTTCAATTTTATAGAAGTGCAAAACTAAAATGCTAGAGTAATCTTTTCAGTTATGACTGCGACAGGGCATGCACGATGCTTTAAATGTATGTCTCCTAATGTCGGAGATATCCAGGAAGACTGCTGTGACAAAAGTAAATAATCATGCACACAGTGTGTAATATTACTCTGGCAGATGTGAGAGTGATCTTCTGTCAACAAAAGAGTTTGCAGAAGGCGGGCCAAGCCTCATGTTTATCAGGTATCACTGTGGCTGTTGATGTGAAGGCAAACAAACAAGTGATGGCTTCTGGAAGATTATCTTATTAGACTACAACGTCTGTCAAGGCTGTCTACAGCAGGAGCCCTATTTTGACAATATAAAGTGCACCTTTCCAGGTGCAGCAATTAAGGTGCATACCGTGCATGTCCAGACCAATTTTGTTATATTGATGTATATCTGCATCAGGCCATTATTTTAAAAGGGTTGGACTTGCTGTCTTAATTAATCCATAGGTGTGTTTTGGGCATAACATGCAATAAACCAATCAAAATGCCATCACCCGTTCCCTTTAAAAGGCAGTCACGCTGGTACCATGGTGGATAGCTATTATAATGGAGGATTTACCTGAAGGGCGATTTGAATACCTACTGTATGTGGAGAGCAACGATTGCTCAAACAATTTTCTATTTACACTGAATTTTATCCTGACCAAATAATTCTACATAATACGGTCCACTACTTACATGTTTTAAAGTACCTTGGTGTACAAGGTATTCATTTTAATTCTGAAAACATTCTAGTTTTAATCTCTAGCATTTTGGTGCGCTGCTGCGAGTCCCTATCCAAGTGCCAAGCAACATGTCTGCACCTTATGCATGTGCTTATTACCAACTTGATCCAGCACCTTTAAAATGGCGAACTGTTGACCTAGACCACCTTTTTGTTGTCACTGGTACAATTTGTGATTGCGTCCTCAAGATACTACCTGGCGTAATGTTGAGCAGCTTGCAGGCTGTGTCGATATCTTTTAGCACCTCTCCCACCACCATGGTGTGGACTTGCTCCAGACAGCACTCCTCTGTCTCAGGGGGAGGATCCTGGTCTGGGTTGGTTGAAGGCAAACTTGGCTCTGGAGTCCTGGAGGAAGGAGCAGCAGAAGCGGGGGCCTCTGTCATCCTCGGCACCCAGGGGTTCTCCTCTAGATCTAATCTGTTGTAGCAGGGAAGGTAGACCCCTGGCCAGCCGCGCTCTGGGAGCCCCAATAAACTGTAGGGCAGTTGGATGTCATCCGTCTTGTCCAGCCGTTCCGTCCTGGGGTCAGTGTAGGGGTGACTGATGTAGAGAGGTGAGTGTGCAGTGCAGTCCATGTTCTCACAGCACGGACTCCCCATCTTCAGAGTCCTTTAGCACTGGATGAAGAAAGCACAGTTTTCATAAAATGTAGTCATCGGTCTCATAACACACCCCACATGACATTTCCAACAGTGACACTGCCTGGTCAGAGTGGCATTAATACTGTACTGAAACTATACTTAAGCGCCCAATATTTAAACAGTAACAATCCTAAAGTCAACTTGACATTTGGTGTGTGGTGTTTACTTTGCTGGGAAATATTTTGAAATAAGGAGTTTGTCATTCGAGCTAAGTCAGATGCATCCTTTGTCAGTTAAATTAATTGAAGTCATTGTTTGTGTTTCTGTCTATTTTAACGTAACTCAAAAGTTGAGTCTGTTTTTAATTCAGAATTTGTTTCAGACCTTCTCCTCAGTCTACAGTATATGACTGAAAATATTCAGGTCAAATGGGTTCAGTCTGGGTGAAGTTCTGACCTTTCCTTCCCCTTTTGTCAACATAAAAAATGAAATCTACTCCAACTTTTCGTAAATACAGATAAAGAGAGGAAGATTACCATAAGGAAAAAAATTTGTCAGCTTTGCTGGGAAAAGAGTTGAAACACTTGGCACCTTTTAAAAATATCAAGTACTTTGGGTCATTAAAAGGGTTTGCATGATAATTCTAAAAGAAAGATTGATATAATACAGCACAAGGGGTGGGACACACCGTATGTGGATAAAGGAGAAGTAGCTGGAACACATTCATCATGGTATGAGTAAGTGAACAGCTCACCAGCTGGGAGTGGTGCTGTATTTCGACAAGACTTTGTTTTATACACCTGTATGAAAAGTAAATTTACAGTGATTAACGAAAAATACTGATGCCTACTGGATGGATTACTTACCAGATGGGCCTACTGGGCTCAGGCCCAGGAGCCCAAGAGGTCAGGAGGCCCCTGGGCCTGTGCCTCTGTATGAAGTGTGATATATCAGCAGGCCCAAGTGGAATCTGCGCCTGCAGAATTCCAATGATACTTCCACAGATTTTGAAAAGAAAGTAGAAACTCAGAATGTAAGCATGTGTTTGCCACGGCCTACGTGTGCACAACAGTTGTGATGTTGCAATTTGTTTTATTTATTTATTTATTTTTTTGTCATTTTCCAAGCCAAGGATTCGACGTCACGTCTTCTTCACACCTTGACTGGCTAGTTGCACATCTCTGTCCAGCACTTCTTGTTCATTCCTTACACAACAATCTGTGTGATACATGTAGAGCTGTTCCCCTCAGTAGCCAGGTTAATGTGTACTAACAAAAATATGAATGTCTCCTGATTGTCTGAAAACCAACTCGCCCACCCCCTCCTCTTTTTTTTTACATGGTGGTTGGTCAGTAGCCTAAAATTTAAACGTTTATATGAAGTGATTTCTTTCACCCTGCTTAAGATTACCTTCAGTTGCTTTAATGCAGTTTTGTAGTTACTTTTGCTAAAAAAAAATAATTATTGCTACTGGCATGAATATTCTCTTTTACATTACAAGTGAAAAAACAAAAAAAAATCACTCCTCAGTACTCCACAGATTTCCATCCTGAATAACTGTGGAAAATAAAAAGAAAAATTTAAAAAAAGTTTCAAAATCCTCAGATTTTGTTTGGGCCTGCATGAAAGTCATAGCTCATTTAAAAGACACAAAACATAGAGACAGAAAATAGCCATAACAAAATTAAAAAGATGCAAAATTAAATTACTTGTAAAAGATGTAAAATGGCAAAAAGCAACCCATAAAATACTTCAGAGATAACAAAAAGGCACAAAAGTACTTTAAAGAGACAGAAAATGACAATTTAAAAAAAAAAGACACCACAACCTTGGAGACACAAAATGGCACAAAGACTAAATCATAAAGACAACACAGAAAATGACTACAAATGATGTGACCATGTTGCTGGTGGTTTGTTAAGAAAAGGTAAAGAACTAAGGAGAGTTGGGTGTATGAGGTGTTTACTTCAGTTGTCACACAGCAGCACAGATGAGAACTAAATAATAATAATAATACAATAGCAATAATAATACAGGATCACCAAAAAACAAAACAGAGGAACAATTCTAAATATTTTTGAGAATATGTGAACAAAGTACATAGCCCAGGTGCTAGAACACACTGTTTAGGTTTCAGCAACTATTTTCTTAGTTCCAAGTATTAGCAGTTTAAATGAAAAACATGCTCTTGTAGATTATTCTTTTTCTCTGGCACAAATGTGTGCGTGTGTGTGTGTAGGTGTGCAGGTGGTAGTAAAGGTTCATATTCTTGTTAACACTGCAGTCGATCTGTCCCATCCCAACACAAAACTTATCACTTTAAATAATACTCGATACTTTCACTGGTCTAGACATCATTTTAAAGAAAGCAAATGCACTGGTGGAGCACAAGCAAGACATCTGGTGGTAGTATAGCCAGTAGTAGTAACAGCAGTGCACATAATAGTGGGGCAGTAGTTAGTGTGTTAAATGAGTACTTTTTATTTTCAAGTTATTTACAGTACCTTTTTGCTCATATATTTTTAGTCAACACTAAAGCAGAACTTGATTTGTAGAGTGATCCTCTTAAAAGATCTTTTTATAGGTGCTGCTAATGACGTTAACAATGGCTTGGCTATATTCAAGCATCCCAGTGAGGCAGCATGCAAAAAAAAAAAACCAGGAGCAGGTAAACTGACTTCATCATTAATGTCATTTTTTTGGGC